CCCCCCCCCCCTCTTCGTTAATCAAATCCTTCTATCTCTCCCCCCTCCCTTCCCCCGCTCCCTTCCCCCCGGCGGTAAATAAGGACTGGTCCTAAGAACAGAAAAGTGATAACCTTGATATCAAAAGTAGTCGCTTTCCTAGTTTATGATTCCATTACATAAAAACTATGAAAAGTTTTGTTACGACTACTTGCTGCTCAGTGAAGCTCAGACGAAAATTGCATATACATCAACGCAAACGGTGCCTCCATTGTCTGCCTCGCCAGCATTCATCAGATCCTCGCCATACCACACTCGTAACTCTTGGTTGTATTTCACGTGGGAGGGGCTGAAAAAGGAGAGCACTAACTCTGAGGAAAGTGACTCGTATCCAGGAACCTTGGACCATTTAGAACCATGATGTTCGATGAATTCGTGTGGCGGCAAAAGAACTTGACCGCCTAAGTTTGTTATGACAACATTAATCTTGCCCAAGCCGTACAAGCCACAGCCCCAGTAAGACCAATAAGAGACATGTCGTGTGTCACAGGACACGTACCCGTAGAGATGAACCAGCTTCACAGCGGCCAGTTTTTGACCAGTTTTAACATTGAATCTTCCACACCGTCCGTTCTTTGCGCCAAAACACACCGGCGCGGTATTCTGCTTTTGCCATCTATCTGTAAAGTAAACAGAAATTTGTTTCTCATGTCAATAAAACATGTTTGTCATTCGAATAAAAAAACCAATCGTAGCAGTAACATTCAGGGAAGAAGATTACTGAATATCTATTCAACCCGACGAAGCTGTGAAAGCCCTATGCTGATAAAAGGAAAAGTTAATTCTTCAACCCAGTTCTTAGTATTGTTTTCCAATTGCAAGTCAAAATTTCTTACGAAAACGGTTTAATTTTTAACTAGGGAGACAAAACAACATACAGTCTAACCTTTTCTTATGGCCTTCCTTCGTTCCAGGAAAATTATAGTATATTTTCTTCGCAAAGCCCACTCCAATACACACATCTCTAATCGGACACGGAAGACTAAATTTCGGCCATAGAGAGCAAATACCGTAAAAATCTCATTTGGCGCCCTCGTTCCAATAAGCACCCCTCGCTAATAAGCGCCCCGCTCGAATTAGTTTTTGTCAATAAGTGCCTCTAAACTGATTAGTACCCTTATACGGGATTTAAACCCATGACCCCCTGCGATGCTGGTACAGTGCTCTATCAACTGAGCTAACGAGCCAACTGGGAGCTGGTCACTCTGTTGGTTCATAATAAACCCGTCAAGTAATCAATTAATGAATGTGAATATATGAAAATCATATATACGGTAAAAAATCATATGCGTCAATGTGCCGTGGTTTATAAAAAGCAAACTTGTTATTCGTGTCTGTTAAGTCACCTCCTGCATAAATTATTTGCATTTCCGCTTTTTCTTCAATGAATCATTGGAAGATTTCTCTTCTTTGTTTTTTGTCCTTTTACTACTTTTCCTCAGGGTTACGTAGAGGGTTAGACCAAAGAAGGATTTTTATGGACCTTCTGAGAAGCCAATACTGTATTACATAGGTGGCGTTAAGAGAATTAAGGGATGTTGACCATTTAAACCGAGATTCCTGAAATTCGGACGTAAATAGTTAGTTCTGTGTTTCTGTTTACAACCATAGAAACGAGTTTTTTTT